AGTAGTAGTAGTAGTAGTCATAGATGGAAGGATAGCAGCCTTGCTCTAAGTAGTTACCCTAAAAGGAGTTGCAGCAAGAAAAGGGGTGGTTGTAACGGCCATTGTCATTCCAGGAATATTCCTTGCAGTAAAAGGAGTAGCAGCAGGAGTAACAGGAGGAGTAATAGTAGTATTAGTTACAGCCAGAGTAGTAGCAAGAGTAGGGGCCATTTTAGTATTGCTTTAATTCTTAGCAATAGCAGGAGTGGTCATAATGGTCTTGATAAGAGTAGCAATGATAGTAAGAACAGTAGTAATAGCAATGATAACAGCGGCCGTCATTGTAGTAGCAATGATGGTAGTAGTATTGCTTTCATCTGCTAGCATGGTTTGCAGGCAGTAAGGTAGAGGTGTTGATAATGGTAGTAGAATTAGTAACAATAATAGGAAGATTAACTGGTAGTAATGATACGAGTAGGGCTAATGTCCCTATCAACTGATAAGACTGACTGTAATAGTCCTACAGCAGCAATGGGAGCTGATGCTGACCCCTTAGTTTAAATAAGAGAGCTCTTATTACTGTCTAAGCTAACAAGAGCTCTTTTATTAGCTGATAAGAGTAGTGATAGGGACGCTAGAAGTGACTCTGAACCGTAGTATCAGTATTAGTAATTATTAGAATGATTCTTAACTGTCCCTGTTGTTAGCCAGCCGTAGCAGTCGTGGTAGTTGATGTAGTAATGGCCACAGGGAGAGTCGTGGTGGCCTCTGTGAGTAGCTAGTAACAGCAGCGGTAGTGCTAAGAGTCCTGAGCAACCTAAAGGTGCACTCGTAACGAGAGGTATCATTTATAGCGAGCAAGGCTGGTAGTAACCATGCTACTACTCCTGGTACCAAGAGCATTAGCACCAGTAGCAAGAGGAATTGCCTTGAATTGTTCACTGAGATTAGTTACAGAGAAAGTCTCCTGGTAGTAAGGCCAATAAATGGCAATAACAGTGAGAAATTCTATTGTTTTTATTGTGTACCAGTGATCACAGGGATGATAGTGTAAACAGTAGTAGGAAGCAATGGTTGTAGCAGTAATAAAAACTAGCATCATCTCATCCCATGGCTTTCTTTTATAGATAATGCTAGTGGTAGCTATCATTTAGTGTCTTCCCTCATTTCTTCTTAGTCTTTGCAAACACTTTAATTAATGACAGCAATAATAATAATAACAGGTCTCCTTGCCATCACTGTCCCACCCACGACTTTACAGAGAATCTACTCTGGGGCTGATGGTCATTGCAATAAAATCTCACCTTCCTTCTCTCCCTAAGTTTGGAAACTGCTTAGAAAATAGTCATAAATATAGGGTTTTTGGGGGTGGTGTTTTTTTGGGGGGGGGCTGTTTTCCCCCCCCCGCCCCCCCCCCCCCCCGGCTTTGCAAATTACGGCATTGTTCTTAAAGCCTCTTTTCCTCTCCCCTACCCCGGCAAGTATTTGAATTAATATTAGTGTTAGTATTCCCAGCCCTCGTTACCTTTCCAAGGCCTTGCATCTCATTAATGGCAGTGGTGACGAATCAGGATCCAGCCTCCATGCTGCTCTCTCCCTAGTCTTTGAAAGTGAGTAAGGAGCCCCAATACTTGGCCATTGCCTTTTAATAGTTAGTATTATTCACAAAGCCTTCACTACTCAGATAGCAGTTGAGAGCATAACAGCATTTTTCTGCTCCCCAACGCTTCAATTATGGGTACTCATTTTATGAACACATCGCTGCCTCTCCTTCCTAAGACCTTGCAGTTATTTGGGGATAATCGTAAAGCCCAGGGGTTTCCAACCTGGCGGTCCCTGGATAATAATAACCTTCGAACGGAGGAGCAGGAAAGGCGCCCTCTGGATCATCGAGTCCAGACCCCTGTCAGGAAGGCCCAGTGGAGGGATTCAAACTCCCGACCTTGGATTCAGCAGCCAGAGACTGTTGTTGGACTGTAAAGGCCTCCCGGAAGCCTTAACCACTCGTGGTGTGGCCCAGGGTTTATGGTAGTTGTAGTCCAAGAATATCCAGGCACTCAAGGTTGGAAACCCCTGGTATCATGGGGGTAAGTCTTACGCTTACCTCTGTGTGTGTACGTCGTCTTAACTTCCTAAGACTTTGTAACAGGAAATCTTTGGGAGGAAAGCGGGGGTCTCCTTTTGAAATGCACCCCACCTTCAGGGGGCATGGCAGGACAAATGATCCAGGTGGAAAGATCATAGAATCATGGAGATGGAAGGGGACTCGAAGGCCATCCAGTCCAACCCCTGCTCAGAGCAGGAATCCAAGTCAAAACAGATCCGACAGATGTTGATCCTGTTTTCCCTTGAAGGCCTCCAGCGTTGGAGTGCTTACTACTTCCCGAGGTCCTGAGTCCTGTTGTTGTACTTCTCTAACAGCTAAGAAGTTTTTCTCGATATTCAGCCAAAATCTGGCTCCCATTCTAACATGTCCTGGACTCTGGGAGGATGGAGGACAGATCCTGCCCCTCCTTTGTAGGATGACCTTTCAAATCATTGAAAAGGGCTCTCCTCTCCCCTCCGTCTTCCTTTCTCAAGGCCAAACAGGCCCAGTTCTTTCTGTCTTTCCTCTTTCTGTCTTTCCTCAGTCCCCTGATCATCCTGGTTGCCCTCCTCCGAACTTGCTTCCCTTCGTCGGCAAAACTGATTGGCAAGATGGGTGTGGGTGATCTCAATATTTTCCTCTAGGGTTTTTTTTTGTTTGTTTGTTTTTTTTCAAAAGCAGGGAGCCCCCTTTGGTGCCACCTTTCCACCCCGAGTGCCTTAACCCCAATTTGGAATGTCGTCAAGGTTTGTTCTGAGAGCAGTCTTTGCGAGGCTGGTTCAGGAGAGCTTGGGCCTCCTTATGATAGGGATCACATTTGGAGCCTGCCGTGAACAGAACAGTTGCCCAGGCCCTGAGGAATTGGGGCATGTGCGCATGTATTAATAGAGAACATCGGTCGCCCGTAGCTTTCCCTTCGCCTCCACCTGTTTAGATAATTAGGTCAACCTTGCACATTTAGCCATGTGGTGGGAGATGAATCATAACCCTCTTGGCGGGCCGGGCAGACCGAGTTTCAGTCCTAAAGGGTCTGGGACGTGCATATGTGTGCACGCACACCACATTCTCTTCCTCTATAGATCAAAATGCTGCTCCCCCCCCGCTTCAACACCCAAGTTTTTGCTCGCCCTTCAGTCTGATAACGTTTGCTGTCATGATGTGGGTCTTTTGCTGTGCTGTCTGCTGAAACCGGTGGTGGTTTTCGGTAGTCTTGTGTATTTTTTTTTAATCTCGCGTTGCCTTCTTATGGGACAGGGCGGGGCGCATCTTGTGCATTAAGATTTGGCCCACGCCAGATTGTGGACCTCTCGTTTCGCTGCCGTCATCTTGAGGGCCTTTGTCTCTCTCTGCTGAAAGAAGTCGATATTCCAATATCCTGTCTCACCGGCATGGTTGGGTCACTGAGCCAAAGAGTCATCGCCTCGAAGCCCAAGGTGGCTGGCCGACCCTCGCGCTGTTTGCTCTTGTGCTTTTTGTAGGATCGTGGCGTTGTATGGGGCTTCTAAGGCCATTGAGTCCAACACCCTACTCAAAGCAGATCAGACAAAGGGGGGGGGTCCAGTTTGCTCTTGAATGCCTCCAGGGTTGGAGTGCTCCCCGACTCCCAGATTTATTTATTTCATGGTTGCACTCTTCCAACAGTTAAGAGGTTTTTCTGGATATTCAGCCGAAATCTGGCTTCCTTTAGCTTAAGCCCACGGTGACGTGTCTTACACTCTGGGAGGATCGAGAACAGATCCTGCCCTTCCTCTGCAGGACAGCCTTTCAAGTCTTTGAAAGCTGCCATCATTCAAAAAGTTTAAAAGAAGTTTTAAAAACCTTTCCATCCTGATGGAAACGTAAAGGATCTCCATGCTGGCCACCCGTTTCTGTCTTACTCTGCCCCTTTCACCTCCTTAAAAGGATCATCCCACCCAGTCTTTGAGGGAGGCCGAACTGCCCGTGAATTTCCCAGTTTGGTGCAGATTCGAATCCCACCTCCCTGGCTCTAGACTGACCCTCTGGCCGCAAGTGTATGCAATTCCTGGATGGCCACTCCACCCCTGACCGCCTCCGTCTCGCTCTCCCTTTTCAGATTGATGACATCATTGATGGCGCCGTGAAACCCCCACCGAACAAATATCCCATTTTCTTCTTTGGCACCCACGAGACGTGAGTCCCGGTCATGCGGGGAGGGGGTGGAGGCAGGAGGGGAGGCCCGCCTTTCCAGGAGCAGCAGTTCCTCTTCCTTCCTGACTCTGACGTCAGCTTTTTGTCTCCCCCCACAGGGCTTTCCTGGGCCCCAAAGACCTCTTCCCTTACGAGAAATACAGGGACAAGTATGGGAAACCGAATAAACGCAAAGGTTTCAACGAAGGATTGTGGGAAATCCAGAACAACCCGCACGCCAGTTACAGCGCTCCTCCGGTGAGTGGCTTTCAGACCACCTCGGGCTGGGTCTTGGCTCCATTATTTTAGGGACCGGGGGCAGGGAAGGCCACTTTGACTCCCTCTCTGATCATTTTGGACTCCCAACTCCCACCAGCCTTTCCTTGCTGGTCATGCTGATGATCGGAGATGAAGCCCCCCCCCCCCCCAAAAAAAAAGGAAACAGGAGTCTAGAAGAGCAAATGTTGCTCCATTTATATTAAAATCGGGTCCATTTTAATGTCAGGTAGCTGCCATTGTAAGCTGGCTGGATAGTTCAGTGGTACTGTGGAACTGGAGGTTGGAAGTTCGAATCCCTCCACGGTGTCTCCCAGGGGAAGAGCTGGCCTGGGTGGCCTTGGGCAAAGTTGCACCGTTCCAGGGCACCCCTGAAAGACGGGAAGGGGACACCGCTAGCTAGAAAACCCTTTGAAGGGTCAACCTAAGTCAGAGCTCACTGGATCGCTTGACGGTTGAGGTCTGTGGCTTAAGAGCCAGAGGTTGGGAGTGTGAAGCCTCCATGGGGTGCCTCCAGGGAGAAGAGCCGGCCTGGGGTGGTCTTGGGCAAAAGCTGCACCGTCCCAGAAGAAGGGAAGGAGGAACCCCTTCTGGGATTCCTCTCTCTGGAAAATCCTCTTATAGGGTGACCATCAGTTGGAATCGACTTGACAGCATGTCATGATTATTAGCTGTCATTGTTCACCAAGGCAAGACTTGGCAGGAATGCTGGTTGCGTTTAAAACAGCAAAGGGGTCGGGGCAGCCTTGCGAGGGGCCAAGGATGGGAGATTGAGCCCCAACCAGGACTGGGCCCTGCAGGCACTCTTGGGAGCTTTCCGCACCCAGTGCCTGACCTCCAACCTCTCTGTTTGTGCCCGAGGGTTCCAATGAGTCAGTCTGTGCATAGAATAAAAAAATTAAAATAAAAGAGTCTCCTCGTGTCTCACCCCCTTTCTCCCGTACAGCCGGTGAGCTCCTCCGACAGCGAAGTAGACATTGAGGAGATGGCTCCCCTCGGAGGGGCCCCCGCCGGCAGTGAGATCGAGGATGAGGAAGAGTCGGCCCCGGCAGCGGCTGCCGTCGGTGGCAGCGCAGGAGGGGCCACCCCGAAGGCGGAGAGCGACGAGGACTCCGACCAGGGGAGCGACCACAGCGGCGTGAAGCGGAAGCTGTTAGCCACGAAAGTGGGTGCTGTTTTGCACGGCAGAGGAGAGGGTGTGATCCTGGTGGGGGGGAGCAGTGTTCCACCCAGCTGGGGGGGGGGATGCGGTGCCACCCAAGCTTCACCTGAAAGGGTCAAATGAAGTGCCTTGGAAAAGCCTAAGGAGGGACCAGCATCCTATTTCGCTCCCGGCAACCAACCCGACATTCTCATCAGAAGCCGGCCTGAGGCTGTGACACCTTTCACACCCACAAACACACACATATGTTTCCCCTGCAGCTGGTATTCAGACGTAATTGTTCCTAATTGCGGAAGCAATAACCCGCAAAGAATTTTATGGCACAGCGGTTAAATTGCAGTCCTGCAGCCTAAACTCTGCTTCGGTAAACCGAGTGCCTAGCTCACTGGGCGGGGTGGGTGGGGAAAGAGCATTGAGTAGCCAGCATAATGAAATTAAATTGTAACCTACCCACCCCCAGCACTCTCGGGTGGTATGTAAGCAGCGTGCTTTTTCCTTAAATGACAGTTCCCGCCTTTTTATGTAGGAAAACTGCCTCGGCCCAGCATGCGAAGGAAAGGTCTCCCCTCCTGAATCGCCTGGAATCTGTTCCTGCTCGCCACAAGGGAGCGTCCTCGTGCTTCTGCCAGGCAGGATAAGTGACCGCCTCCTTGTCGCTTCTCTTCCTTTCAGATGCCGGCCCCGAAGCGGCCACGGAAATCCTCCAGCGACGTCGATCAGGCCAGCCCCTCTCCGTCGGAAGAGGAGAATTCGGAGAGCTCGTCCGAGTCGGAGAAGTACAGCGACCAGGTGAGTTCCTGGGATTTTGTCCCTGAGTTTGCTTCGGTCCCGGAAGAAATGTCGGTGGGATTCTGGAACCCATCTCAAACCCACCTCCTGCCGTCGTTTATGTCTTTGACAGCTGCAGCGTCGTGCCTCGAATCCGCAGAGGCCGCGACTCTCCTTCCTCGCTCTAAATCTAGCACAGGTGCAGGTTTTTGTCACTGAAGGGAAGCCAGGTTTGTTTAGAAAGCTTTAGGCCAGCGCACGGCAGATCCGTGCAGCCCAGAGGCCAGGATGGGGGCTGTTGCGGGCCTCCCTGTCAAATCGCATTGGTGGTGACTCGGCTCTAGTATTTTCCTTTTTCTTTTTTTCGCCAATGAGTTGGACACAACTTGGAACCCATCCACCCCTCCCTTTTTTTTCCTGTGGGAAAAAGCTTTGTTTTTAAGAGGGACTCGAACTCTGGACTTGGTACCAATGACCCAGACTCAGATTTGGGACTTGGTCCCAAAGATTCAGAGCTTGGACTTGGGCTTCGGACCCAAAGACCTCCCAGCATCCCTGCCCGGAGGTGCGGAAGGATAAAGAAGCACTAGATGCATGATGGCGTGTTGTTGGATTGAGACAGGAACCTGTGTCTTAAGAACGCAGGAGGTATGCTACTTTCCCCCCCATTTTCAAAATTTTTAAAAATGCTAATATTCCATTTTTATTTTATTTGTTTATTTATTTAACATCTATGCCACCCACTCTACTCACAGGTCTACCCCTGAACATCCTGCTTATGGTCCCCTTCGTGTCTAGGAGACAATAAGCAGGAAGGTTTATAATTTGTTGCTTCTATATCTGTTTCCATAGCACTTTTAACTAAGCTTTATAATGTAATGTGATGTTATGAATTCTTCTTTGACGATTCGAATCACCTGCTGTTTTTTAGATACTGTCTTTAGTCCCATAAGCCACCGTGGGTCATTTTTTTTTAGGACAAAGGTGGGGTTGAAAATATTTTTATAAAAATAAAAGTGAAAAACAAGACTTTTTCCTCATCTAAACTGGCCTCTCTTCCTTTGTAGGATTTCACACCAGAAAAGAAACCTCCACCTCGAACTTCACGACGGGGGCCTGCCGGTGGGTGGAAAAGAAAGGTAAGGTCCCTCTGAAAAGGATCCAGTCCCTTACGAATAAAATTCATAGCCTCTCTTTTATTCTTCTGGAGTCCAGGGTCATTTACGATAGGCAAAACGGTAGGGTGTCACAAAGAAAGGTGTACATGGTTTTGATTACGGTTTGCGACTCTTAGATCCCATAACCGCTAGGAATTCTGGACGATGTGAATGGGTGCCTTCATTGGTGATGTCCTTGTCACCCTGACTGCCTTTCTGTTCCTGTCACCCTCCTCACCGCCTCCAACTTTTGAAACTTCGGAACAGTCTTCAAGGGGCAGTCCCATGTAAACAATGGGCTGTCATCATCTAGCCGGGAGTTTACGGCAGCTGCCCGGCTATCGCCTGTCCAGGAACGATCAGAGCTGGTGTAGCCGCTGAAGCTCAAGTGGCATGGGCTATGAATGTTTTTTAAAAATAAAGTTAAATGAAGGAATAAAGGCACACACGCTTCCTGCTTCAAGCACGGGAGGCCTGACCTCACTGCTGCTGATGCTTCAGGAGATAAAAGGGGCCGGAGACTGTTCAGTTGTGGGGCAGGCCTGGGGGCGCGCACATTGTTTGGCTGTCTCGTAAACAACTTTGGCTGTCTTGGCTTTCAATTCTCCTTTGCTGTCCTCTGACAGATCTTCTCTTTATGTTTCTCCCTAATGTGACTTTGGACCTCTCTCAGCAGAAAATTGAATCGGGCTCCGACTCAGACACCAAGGCGGACTCGGAGGAGGAAGCCGAAGAGGAGGAAGACGATGACGAACGAGAGAACGCCAGGGCCCCCACCCCCAAATCTGAGTCTGACTCCAACTTGGAGGAGTCTGTCAAGAAGCCTTCCCGAGGACGGAAACCGGGTAAGCCAACCCCGTCTGCCTCTCTTAACTTGGCCTGTTTCTGGGTCTGTGGGGCCTGTGAGTCGACAGAAGGGAGACTCCATACATCTCAGTCATTTTTTTAAATTGGATTTCTACCCCGCCCATCTTTAACTTGCGCAGGCAGTTTATCTGTAAAACCTCTAGTGCGTTCCTTGTCAGAAAAGATGTGCTGATACCATAGCATCTCTATATCTGCAGGATCGGTATCTGCGGTTTTGTTTATCCAGGGTCCGAAAATATAAAGTATTAAAAGAAAAAAAAACCCACCTAGAAATATGTATTTTCACAACATATTTACCAGAACTGCTCACTAGAGGGAGCCAGAGACCACAGAATGCCTTTTTGTGGCTAAAGAATAGGTAGCGTGGTCTCTCGCTCTCTCTAATGGCCAGTTTTGGTAACACATGTGAAATTACTTTTTTTCCCCTGGCCTTTTCTTTTCTTTCCAAGTGTTAGGTATACTGTAGTGTTCACTATCATCTGCTGTTTTCAGCATCCATCGGGGGGGGGCTTGGAACCAGTCCCCCCCCCCCGGATACAGGGGCCCTGCCATATTTAGGAACCAGAAGCCGTCTGGTTAAGAACAAGAGCCTAGCAGCAAACTCTGCTGCCTTGCCTGCCTTGGGGTTCCCCTCGCTGTGTGCCGTGCCACATTGCCTCGGTTCAGGAAATGCGCCTGGCGTCACCAGCGGGGCTTCCCAGAGAGATTTCTTTCCTGGTGTTCCCCGGAGATGCTGCTGGGGATTTCGTTCTGCAGCCGCTTCCCCCTGTTGTAGTCCTGCGATTTTTTCCCCAGGGGGCTCCCGTGCGTCTCCTCTTTAAATTGTTGGTCTGTGCTACATACAGTGTGTGCGCGCATATAAAAAGAAAGCCAGGCTTTTCTCCTTACATGTTTGGATTGATCCTGTCCCAAACACTTGGAGGTTGTAGGCTAAACCTCTGAAATACTGAGCCAGGGAAGACTTTCTGCTTTCTTTCTTTGGCTGATGGCTTCCTCGAGGCGCTTGGCTGGCTTGTGTATCATAGTATTGTCTTAGAATGGCAGAGCTGGAAGGGATCCTTAAGGATCATCCAGTCCAGCCCCTGTAAAAGGAGGCACCGTGCGGGGGATTCGAACTCCCCACCTCTGGCTCCGCAGCCAGAGAGACCCTCAGCCCCTGAGTTCTCTGTTGGAAATAAATCCTTGTCCAGGTTAGCCCATGGTCGGATCCAACCAGGCTGTTTTTCTGTCGTGGATCACCCTTTTTTCCCAACCCAAGTGGCTTCCCATTCTCACTTGCTGGAGTTCCCTGGCTTTGGGCAGCGGGATCTCAGCCTCAGGCACAGCCACTCCCTTCCTGCTTCGCTGATTCTCCCCTTGCTTTCCCTCCTCCTAGCGGCAGAAAAGCCACCCCCGAAGCCTCGCGGGCGGAAACCGAAACAGGAGAAGCTTCCCAGCAGCTCCAGCAGCGACAGGTGAGACGGGGCGGAGGTGAGGGACGCTCGGCCCGACTAGAGGTGCGGTGATTCTTCAAAAAAGGTGTTGGTGGTGTTCCTGGTTTCCTCTTGGTTCCTTTCCCCCACCCTCCTGTTTCGTTTTGGCGCCCGACAGCGACAGTGACATTGACCGGATCAGCGAGTGGAAGCGCCGGGACGAGGAACGGCGGCGCGAGCTGGAGGAGAAGCGGAAACGTGAGCAGGAGGAGGAGCTGCGGCGGCTGCGGGAGCAAGAGCGGGAGGAGAAAGAACGGAAGAAGGAGAAGGCGGAGAAGGGGGAGAAAGAGCGCTCGGATAGTGACAGCAGCCTGGAGGCAGCCGAGCTCCCACGGAAGGGCCGGAGAGGCCGGCCCAAAGCTCCATCGTCCTCTGATTCCGACGCTGAGAAAGAGGTGGGCCGGACAGGGGTGGAGAAGCTCCCATCCATCCATTCATCCATCCATCCATCCTCCGCTTCCTTTTCCTCCTTCCTTCCTTTTCCTTCCTTCTTTCCTTCCTATTCCTTCCATCTTTTCTTCCTTCCTTCCACCTGCCCACCATCAACTCCTTCCTTCGTTCCTGCTGAACATATTGTGCCGGTCCTGACCTACTGCATGAAAACATCCTCTTTCTCTTTTTGTTTCGCTTTTCCAATTCTAAAGAGGCAGAGGATTCTGGGAACCGCTGCTGGAGATCCTGCCCCAGCCGCGGTTGTAAAAAGGGAGAGATCTCTGATAAGAAATACACTGCAGTCTTTCATTTAATTACCAAGCATGCCACTGGTGATCACCAGGAAAATATCTCAGCTCTAGAACTAAAAAATTCCCACAGAGGATGAAATACAGCCTGCCTTGAATAACGGGCATTTTCCAAAGTTTGCGGTGCAGAACGGCAAAAAGAGGCAGAGCCCCGAATGACGCCCAGGGCTGGCAACCTGCTTCGGGCCGCTTAAAAGCCTTCCACCCCAGCTTGTAGGGCTTGGTGGAAGAAAGACAGAAGAAAAAGCAACATCTTTTTCAGTGTGACCCCAGGGGTGGGGGAGAGCTGGGAACGTGAACCCCTCCCCCCTTTGTGGCATCCATGTGTTTTTCTCCCTTTCTCTTCCTTAGATCAAAAAGCCAGCGAAGAAGCCACCTTCGGAGCTGTCTAGGAAAACGAGCCAGAAGGAGAAGAGAGGCCAGGGGGACGAGAAACCTCGGAACAAGTTAGGACGCCGTTTGACTTGTAAAAACACGTGTGCGCACACACATGCCTGCTGCTACCCAGCGGGTGGCCGTAGCTGCTTTAGTTAAGCAAGCAGGCCGTGATCCTGGGAATCCCAGCTCAAAATCCCCCCCCCCTTCTCTCTCTTTCTCTTTCTCTCTGTGCGTCTTCCTAGGCGATCTTGTCTGGAAAACCAAGAGTCGGGTGGGCTGGGCTTGTGTTTTTCAAGAACTTTTTTTTCCTCTTTCCTTAAGATCCTGGGAACGGCATCTCACCTTATTAACAAGTCTTGGCGGGGGCAACTCTCTTTCAGCCTGGGCTGAAAAATAATCTCCAGCAGAAAGTGTTCCATTTCCCTAGATAGACTTTTTGTTTGTTTGTTTTGGCCCCCTCTCCAGAGGAGCCGTTTCTGGTTTTCCGGCCCTCCTCTACCTTTACCTTCCCTCTTCCCCATCCCTCTTCCTGACTGAAGTCCATTTATAGCCCAGCAAGACTGGTTCATCAGAATTACACGGCCCAGGGGTTGTGGGTGGTAGCCATGTTGCTCTGTGGTAGCCCCCAAAGGCAGCCCCATGGACATCGTGTTGCCGTAGTCTAGCAGAGTGTGTACCTATCTTGGGCTTTGGGCAGAAGGGGTTATGGGAGTTGTCCATTTTCAGGTTTCTCTTGGGCTGTAGAGGGGATAGGAATCTGGAGCGCAACCTGGCATCCAATTTCTTCCTCCAGCTTTCATTTGTGTTCTCTTTCTGTAGAGCTTTGAAAGCGGAGCGGAGCCGGAGAAAGCCCGAAGTAGTCCAAGAAAGAAAAGCAGAGAAGAAGAAAGGTAAAAACTGGGGGACGAAGTCCCCTTTACAGAACTCTGTGCATGCTTGCATGCAGGTATGTGTTTGCGAGAGACCTAAGGGGACACCAAAGCTTTTATCTTTTCCGAAACATAGCACTGAGAATTCCCACTGGCCACGACTGACTTCCTCAAGCAGAGAACAGAGGCCTGGCATAGGAACACGAGATGCTTTGGGGATGCGCTGCGTAGAACTTACTAGGTTGATGCCCTGAATTTCCCGTTTTGTCTTTAAAAAAAAAATATTTAAAGTAATAGCCCTTTTCTATGCTGTTCTTAGAGCCGACAGTTGAGGAGAAGCTTCAGAAGCTTCACAGCGAGATCAAGTTCGCCTTGAAAGTGGACAACCCGGTAAGCCCACAGCCTGGCTCATTTTGAACGTGGGTTTCTGCAGCTCCTCCTCCTGAAGCGCCCACCTTGCCCGGGTGTTTTTCCCTCTGCTGGGGGATTGGGACCCTCTGTCCTGAACTCAGACCTTTCTTGGTAGTCGTCTCAAACCGAGAGGCGGCCTATCTCAGGCTTTGTGGGGCTCGGGGAGAGGCCGTGTGGAAATGTACTCGTGTGCCATGAGAAACAAGGATTCTCTTTCCCCTCCTGGCTAGGCATAGGCCTGTTTTCTCACTTCCTTGTAGCCGAGAACATTCATCTGCTTCTTCCCACCCGTTCTCCAAATTAGGCGGGAGCGGGGAACTTTTTCCACCCCCAGCGCCAAATTCTGTGTCTCAGGCATTCTCAGGGATCCTGTTTCCTTGGTGGGTGACGCTAGAAACCACCAGCCTTAGACTGGCAGAACTAGAAGGGATCCCCTAAGGATCATGTAGTCCAGCCCCTGTCAAGGAAGCACTGTGGAGGATTCGAACTCCCAACCTCGGGCTCCAAAGCCAGAGACCGAAACCCCTGAGCTCTCCGGAATGGTTCCTTATTTTAACTTAAAGCGGCTCCTGCCACAAATGATGGCCCAGGGCAAGCTAACCTTTCTAGAATGAGAGAGGAGGGGTGGAGTCCCCCCCGAGGGCCAGGCAGTGCCCTCGGGTTTGAGGTTCCTAAACCCCCCCCCTCGTCTAGGTTTGAATCGGATGGGGCAATCCTCCTTGAGTCGTCCTCATGACACTAAATGGGCCAACCCACCACCCCCAAAGTCACAGCCCGCGTTTTTGCTGTTTCCCAGGACATCAAGAGATGTCTGAACGCCCTGGAAGAGTTAGGCAGCCTGCAGGTCACCTCTCAGATCCTCCAGAAACACACGGACGTCGTGGCCACGCTGAAAAAGGTACAGGGAGAACCCCTGGAAGGGTTCCTGTCTCCTCCTTCTCTTTCCCCACCCCTCTTCGATGCGGCTGCCGCTCCTTCGCAAAACACCTTATCGTTAGCCTGGTTCGAGGGGCCTCTGGGACTTGGCCGGCGGCGCCATCCCTTGAGCCGCAAAAAAAAGAGCGTTCCCGTGGGTTTCGCCTCCACCTCTTTTTATTTAACTTTTTCCAGATCCGGCGCTACAAAGCGAATAAGGACGTGATGGAGAAGGCGGCCGAAGTCTACACGTGCCTGAAGTCTCGGGTCCTGGGCCCCAAAGTGGGGGGAAACCAGAAAGTCAACCAGACCGACTCGGATAAGGACAAAGGAGAGCGCGAGAAGAGCAAAGAGAAGCTGGCGGAAGGAGAGACCCCCGACGAGAGGGGCGGGGAAGACTCGAGCGCTGGTGAGGAGGGGCAGGAGTCAGGGTGTGCAGGGTTCAGGGTCACCCCTAAACGGGGCGGGATAGAAATCTAACAAACAAACTAAGAAAAAGAATAAATGCAGTAGGAGCCCCGTATCTGCAGGATCGGTATCTGTGGTTTCACTCATCCACTGTTTGGCTCATCTGTGGTCTGAAAATATTAAAAACATTTTTAAAACTAGAAAAATGTATATCCATGATGTATTGACCATGATGAGGAATGCATAGTATGGTCTCCATCTCTCTCTCTCTCTCTCTCTCTCTCTCTCCCCCTCTTCATGATGTATTGACCATGATGAGGAATACATAGTATGGTCTCCATCTCTCTCTCTCCCTCCCTCCCTCCCTCTCTCATGACTCATTCTGGTAGTTCATGGTCAAAAATACTTTTTTCCTGAATTTCTTCCCCCTTTGACCATGTTATGCAAGGAGGAAGGGGCTTGGAAGCATCCCCCCACGGATGGGGGAGGGTTCTACTATAGATTAAATAATTCTAGCCCCGAAAGGAAGATAGGCGTTGAGTCTATTTTAATTTCCCCACCAGGTTTCTGGGTCTTTCCATGAAAATAAGAGGAAAGGGTTTTCCCATAGTTTTGGACGGGTCTCAAAATCACGCGCCTCAACCGGGAGAAACTCTGGCCCATCATGGGTGCCCAGTGAGAGAGGATTGGGGACGGACTCTCGCCTTATTCTGACCAATTGCCTCTAGGTTTGGGACATGGTTTTTTGGGGGGAGGTTTAGCCACGCTGCCTCTTCTCTCCCTCTCAGAGCTCCCGTCTCCCATGAATGGGGAGTCAGTGGCCCAGAAAAGGGAGGGACTCGGAGAGACCCAGGACCGGGGAGATGACGACTGGAATTCTGGAGACGCCAAGAAAGAGGCATCACCCGAAAGCGCCCGAAACAGGTAAGCCGTGCCGACCCCTGCCGGTAAGCGAGCATGGCCTCTGGCCACTTTGGCCACCTGTTAAGACTCCACGGCTTGTCTCGGGCATCGGCTGCCTCCCCGAGCTCTACTGAGCAG